GAGAACCAGGCCAACGGTCCCCCAGCCCAGCCAGAGGCATCCCTCCCTACAGTGCAGCCAGTGACAGCAGCCCCGAGGCCGATCTCATCCCCGGACAGGGGCCCAGCCCCCCCAGTCAAGCACCCCCAAGGAGGAGCACCAAAACCTACCCCAGCACCGGTCATGCGCCCCAGAGACTCCCGAATGCCCCCACCGTGAGAGAGCTGGCAGGGGGAAGCAGCGGGAGCCTCACCTCTGCCGAAGAGGGCCCAGAGGAGAGGACACAACGGGCCCCCAGGCCCAGGGACACACCACCCACCCAGAAATGAGCAAAGGCCACAAGCCCGAGTCCGCAGAACCCTAGGCCAAGGGCGGGCCCCCACGCCAGGGGAGCCCCGACCCCCCCAGCCCACCCCAGATCAGGCAAGGCCGTCACCAACCCCACAGCACCCCCAACGCCGGGGCTCCAGGGGTAGGACACGAGGCCAACGAGAATCTCTCCCACTCCTTCAACCCCTCTGCCTGCCTCTGTAAATGTATTGTTTTGTGTTGGATGCATGTCATGGATTGTGAAGTGTTGTATGGTGGAGTGAAGATAAGGTGTGTGGTAACTAAGGTGCAACTAAAATTGGAGGGTAGTTGTGACACAGGCACCCCACAACTGTCAGGTAGTGGAGCCTCCCATCGTGCCCCTCCCACCCCCCAAGCCCTCTGTGTCTAATGTGTAATTAAAATTGAGGGGCAGGCAGTGAGGGAGGAAGAAGTGCGAGGCCGCAATAAAGCAGCCCCACCCCCCAAACGCCCTGCAGGCTGCCCGTCCCCCAGGATCCTAAGGGTGTATGTTGTGAGACATGACCAAAGGGGGAAAGGTGAAGGAGGTCATAGGGAGGCTAGAAGACCAGATTCCTGACTGGCCCCATCATTTATTCAGTCCCGTCCCCCACCCCCTAAGCAGGAGGACGCCAGGTCCCTCCAGCCCAGGGCTTATAGCAAGAGCCCCTCTAGCACCGGTAGCACCCCAGAGTCAGTGACAACCCCGCCCATCCCCAGGACGGGCCCAGGGGGGCCCAGCCCCCCCAGCGCGCAGACCCGCCCCAGACCCAGAGGCTCCAAAGCCCCGTGCCCCAGACCCCCACACACTCCAGAGGCAGGTCAGTGCAGCCCCAACCCAAAGTCCAACAATCCCCCGTCCTCGCCGGGGCCCCTCCGGCAGCCCCACTGTTAACCCCTCACCTCACCGCTCCCCCACAATCAGCAGCACTCCGAGCACCACCAGCCCCCAAGGGAGCAGGTCCGGGGCAGCAAGGACCCCACCCAAGGACAGAACGGCCCAACAGCCCAGATCCGAAGGTCGGCCCACACCCAGGAGGCAATGCCACTCAGGCCAGGTCAGGCCAGAAGACCCCCACCCCCGCTCCCTTCCCTCCCTACAGCGAAGCATCCCACACACAAACCCCCACCGTCCCCAAAGAAAAGAGACAGCAATCACCCCGCGACAGCAGCAACAGCCCCTCAGCCCTAGGGAGTCAGCAGATGCAAATAGCCCCTAGGACTCAACACGACCACACTCCAGAGGGCCGCGACGCGACTGCAAGCAACCATCGACACACCCCAAAGCACAATCCCTCCATACACAGGATCCCGGCACAACCACCAAGCATCCAGTCCGGGCACTAAAATCCAGAGGAGACACCCCCCAACCAGCTCAAAAAGGACCAGCCCGCACCCCCAACCCACCCCGTCAACCCCTTCTTCCCGGTCCCCCACCCCTCCAACAACCAGTCGCCAGACCCCTCAGAGAACCGAAATGCAATTATCAGGATGCACAGCATGCACACAGGACAGAGCCGCACACCAGCCCAGTCCCGGCCCGCACCCGATGCCCCCAACCCCCGACAAGCACGCAAGCCAATAATGACCTACAGATGAGCCAATCAACACTACCCCGCTACCAATCTAACTAGCGGCACACAACAGCCAAGTAATGCGCTGCGCAGGAGAGATGCCAGCCGGCGCAAACCGCCCCCACCCCCCCCGCAGCCAGAGAGACCACAGACCCTACCCACGGCTACGCCGTGACCCACGCCGCACGTTCACCACCAGACCGAAACCCCCCACAAGCATCCCCCCCACCAACCTCCACCGCCATGCCCGCCGCCCGCCCCTCCCCCCAACCCGGACCCACACACAGGACACACAGGGAGGCAGCCAAGCACCAAGCGCCACCACATCCGCACAGCGCGCGAGTCAAAATCACCACCCACGCACTGATACCAACAACCTCGCGACACCTAAGCAGAGTGGCTACCCACCCCGCAGCAGCGGCACGCCGAATACAGGGCAAACACCGGTCCCCCGTCAAGCCCGCGCCCTAGGCAACCCGAGCGCCGCACCACCGCCCCCCCCGCCAACACCATGCCATCAACCAACATTTAAAATTAGAAACAGTCCCCCACGCCCGCACCGCAATGCATCTAAGAATCAACCCACCCCCAGACACACCTACCGGCCGTACGGGACCCTGACCAGCAAGGCAGTACACACCCACCCCCATTAAGTGATAAAGTTGATCAAGGGGGACCAGAGAGATTGGAATTGTGTCAATTTGTTTTTTTTTACTGCAGACATTTTCTCCATGCTAATGTGATCTATAAGGTGATTCCGATATTGGGTGATACTTATATTCTTTTTGGCCTTCCAGTTCATGAGGATAGTTTTCTTGGCGATGCATAAGGCAGTGAGAAGCATGTATGATGTGTCAACCTCTATACTAATGTCACTTAGGTCCCCCAGCACGCAGAGTGATGGGGAAACTGGGACGGGGTAACTTAGCCATATCGATAGGTCTTCACATATCTTCTGCCAGAACTTTTGAACAGGTGTACATTGCCACATAGCATGCATGTAACTATCAGATATGTTACCTGAGCAGTTCCGGCAGATGTTTGACTGCATAAGACCCATTCTGAACATCCTTTGTCCAGTATAGTGTGTTCTATGGAGAGTTTTATACTGTATAAGTTGTAGATTGGGATTTGTAGTCATTCTAAAGGTATTTAAACATATCTGCATCCAAAAGTTTTGGTCTGGACTAATGGATAGATCTGTTTCCCATTTAAGAATGGGAGAGAGATTGAACTATCTGTTTTTAACAGTAACATGTATACTTTTGATAACAGTTTTGGAGGCGAGAGTTTAAGAAAGTCTGTTATCATTGGAGGTAAATCTAAGTCCATTATTTTATCCTTAAATCTAGCCTGAATTATGGATTTAAACTGTGAAATTCCAGAAATCTATTATGGCTAATTCCATATTGTGCCACTAGATCCTGGAATGGAATAAAGTTACTGCCTTGCATTACATGCTCTAGATGTCAGAGAGAAGTATCAAATACATTCCATCAAACTCATTTTTGACAGCTATTTCCGGTCCCACCACCCCCACCGGATGTCTGTATGTAACTGATAAGAGGGGTGCTGCCCGCCCCAACCGGAAATATGTCTGTATGTAACTGATAAGAGGGGTCATCCTGTCCCCCCCAGCCGGAAATATGTCTGTATGTAACTGATAAGAGGGGGTGCATCCTGTCCCGCCCCAACCGGAAATATGTCTGTATGTAACTGATAAGAGGGTTGCGTACATCCTTCCATTGTGTGTTTTTCATTGATTTAAAGACTTTATTAAGTAATACAACTTGAATGAATTAACTAGGAGGTTTTGTGACAATAAATTTATCATTAAAAAAGTATAGCAGTGAGTTATAAGTAAAAGGAGGAATCTCCGGGGCCAGCAAAGGATCAGTAGGAGGTTTCTTTGGAATCAAGTCAGTCTTTATTATTAAACAAGTGAAGAATAAATTGAAATAATGACAGCAAAGCAGTAAAATGGTATAATGGTGAGTAAAAATTAAAGCATTATAAATTACCTCAACAGCATGCAGCAAAATAAGAGTGAGTTCCAAAAAAACTTTGTAAAATCTTTGCTAAAGCTGTTTGTGTGACAAACTTACCATCATTAAAGAACTAAAGAATAAGATGAAATATACAGTAAAATAGTATAACAGTGAGTTAAAATTAAACAGCATTTTTTAATTACCTTCAAAATCTTTGCTAAAGCTTTGTGTGACAAACTTACCATCATTAAAGAACTAAAGAATAAGATGAAATAATTACAGTAAAATAGTATAACAGTGAGTTAAAATTAAACAGCATTTTTTAATTACCTTCAAAATCTTTGCTAAAGCTTTGTGTGACAAACTTACCATCAGTAAACAAGTGAAGAATAAATTGAAATAATGACAGTAAAGCAGTAAAATGGTATAACGGTGAGTAAAAATTAAACAGCATTACAAATTACCTTCAACAGCATGCAGCAAAATAAGAGAGTGTTCCAAATTACTTTGCTATTGCTTTGTCTTACAAACTTGCCATCATTATCACTCCAAAGCTGTAGCCTAGTCTTAAACTTGTGAGTCTTAAAACTTTAATCCTTCTAGAGTCTGTGTTCCTTCTTCTGTGTCTCTCTTTCTGGTGTAGCATAGGCTGTGGGGTGAATTGAGGAATGTGCTCCACCCCCCGCACCTCCCTCTGTTTTCTCAACGAGTCGTGTTGGGGCACCCGTTAAACCCTTCCTCTGTTTTCTCAACGAGTCGTGTTGGGGCACCCGTAAACCCTCCCTCTGTTTTCTCAATGATGCGTGTTGTGTGTTTAGCTGGCATCCTCAGGTAATCTTGTAGACCAGTTATTAACTTTGGTTATCTATAACCCAGACTCCGGATGTTAAAAAAAAACGGTCTGGTTTTATCAGACAGAGTTCGTGAGTTCGTTTTTGAAACAGGAAGCTATTATTATCGGAGACAAGAGTTTGGAACTAAATAATAATCTGGTTGTACGAGAAGTAAGGGCCCCAACCCCACATGCAGAGCAGCACTCGTGTGTTTGTTTGTTTTGTTTTTTGTTTGTTTTTTTTTCTTACTTCTATAAGTACCCTACCAGAAATCCAGAGGTCTTCACACTAGTGACCTGAAACCAGAGCGATGACCCTTCAAAGAGAACACGGTACGCATTCAGCCTTTCCTCCGCAACTAAAGAAATAGCAAAATCGACACTTTGTATTTTCATTCCTGCGTGTTTTCAATTAACAGTTTTTGACTTGATCGACAATGGGCTTCATTCAACCGAATATCAACTTGAAGGTAAGAGGGCCTTCTATGTACTAGAGTGAAATAGAAATGTTCTAAATTTTAAAGTGTACTATCCTGATGTGTATTTTGTATATTGTTTTTACAGATTTGTACTCAGGCGAGGAAATAGGTTCTACAAGGGAGAATGGCATTCCATCAGCGCAGGTTGTAGATCTCACAGGAGAAGTCGGTAAGTAAGGTTACCTTAACACCTTAATCAGGTGTAGGTTTTATTTATTTATTTACGGTGAGTAAAAATTAAACAGCATTATAAATTACCTTCAACAGCATGCAGTAAAATAAGAGTGAGCTCCAAAATTAAACTGAAGTTAAACTAAAGTAAAATCTTGCTAAAGCTTTGTGTGACAAATTCACCATCATTAAAGAACTAAAGAATAAATTGAAATAATTACATTAAAATAGTATAACAGTGAGTTAAAATTAAACAGCATTTTAAATTACCTTCAACAGCATGCAGCAAAATAAGAGTCTTTGCTAGTGCTTTGTCTTACAAACTTGCTATCATTATCACTCCAAAGCTGTAGCCTAGTCTTAAACTTGTGAGTCTTAAAACTTTAATCCTTCTAGAGTCTGTGTCTCCTCTTCTCTGTCCTCTCTCTTTCTGGTGTAGCATAGGCTGTGGGGTGAATTGAGGAATGTGCTCCACCCCCGCACCTCCTTCCATCCCTCCCCTCCCTCTGTTTTCTCAATGAGCCACATCAAGTTGTGTGTTTTAACTGTCATTAGCATCTTAAGGTAATCTTGTAGACCAGTTATGGAATAGAGTTATCTATAACCCAGGACTCCGGTTTTAAAAACGGTCTGGGTTTATCAGACAGAGTTCGTTTTCGAAACAGGAACCTATTTTTATCAGCCGGAGACAAGAGTTTGGAACTGCAGACTATCTAATAATCTGGTTGTACCAGAAGTAACGGCCCCCAGCCCCTCACCAGTTATCTCCCACATGCTGTCACATACAAAATAAGAGGGGGGCAGAGTTACCGTGAGACAATGATAAGAGACTAGGAGGGGTTTCCATAGGCCAATGATGGGGTCTGTGAAAATAAAACGAGAACATTGTCTTCAAGAAATTGCCAAGAGGGCACTTGGATCCTTGAGCAGTATCTACCTACCAAAGAGGGGACCTCCATGCGGTTAATTTTTTTCAGCTAATGAGTGTTTGTATCTGTTAAAGACTTCTTGTTTCTTTCAAAAATGGTAATTTTAACATCAGTGTTAGTAATATTTAAACATTTCTCTGTGATCCAAAAATATTCAGGGCCACTTTATTGAGAATTTACAGTTTTACCTGTTATTCAGAAATAACTTGGATGCATGCACAAATATCAAGGATTGCAGTATTAGCAGCAAAAGGTACTTTATCCAGGGTTCAATTATATAAAATGTCTTATTACACTAGTGCAGTCATTTAAACTTTCTCTTCAGGTTTGTCTGTGGTGCTTGGTCATTGGTGAAGTAGGCCTTTTTAAAGGGCCTTCATCTTATCTTATTTTGTATTTGCTCTTCATAATTATAAATTAGGACTAAAATGCTCAGCAGCATGATCCTATTTTTTAAGTAATCACTAAAACAGGTTTATCAACTTTTACTAAACCTTTGGAATAATTCTGTCCCCAAATATTTTGAAATGAAATTGACCAGTTATAGACAAGATTTTGCAATGTACTTGTTTCTTCAATCTAAATTTTATAGGATTGCACTTTATTTATTGACTGCATTACAGAAACGTCCATTGTTGGCTGGCATGTAATGACACGGAGTTCCCTCTTAGTTCCTTCTTAGCTAGCATGGAGTGACACTCCAGCATGGATGAATAAAAGAATGGGGTATTTCTATTAAGAGAATATTGTAATCTAAACTAATATTTAATTTGTAGTTACACTTACAAAATAAGGACAATTCTTATGTAGCAAAAAAAAAAACTACAAGTGTTAACAGCGTCCAAATAACTCTAAATGTAGTCTTCAGTAACATATAGACTATGTCCCTCATTCTAAACTAAAGCCTTACTCATAACTAAGTCACTAGTCATGCTAATAGGCCTTCTCTTTCCCTTTAGTAAAAAAAGCTAGAATTATAAAAAAAATATAGTTTACAACTTCATCAACTGGAAACTTCAAGAGCTAAAGTTTGATCCTTCTACTGAGAACCAGCTGCCTTTTGCTAATTAGGGTTTATTAGACTATTACAGAGGTCATGAAATCCAGAACCCTTCCCTTGGGGATGAAGTATTCAAATGCTAGTTAGCTACTTGTTGACATAACAGGACAGTAGTTTTCTGTTGAAAATAAAACAGAAGGTTATAATAAATCTCCTACAGGTAAAAGAATAAAAATAAGCTTTTTATTTCGGCTCAACCGTGATCTGTGCTAATAACACTTATTGCACATTCCAAAGCTCAACAGGAACCAGCAGCTTCAACAACAAAAGTCTGTAACAATATCTATCATATGGCTTTATATTTTTATTTAATGCCCAGATTTACCACGGGGTTCTTGACTAGCCAGAACAGGATGTTCAGCAGTCTTACACTGTTTCATTGCAGGTCTTGCATTCAACCATAGTGGCTAGTTTGCCCTTGACAATAAGGTTTTAGTAAAAAGTCTCATCACTGCTGCGACCTCTTTTTTGAGACCATGCTGTTTCTATTTTTTTTCTAGTGTCCCCTTCCATAGCATTTTCTGAGACACTACAAAAGAGGAAAACAGATTGCCATCGATAACCCAAACTCTAGGGTTAACTCGTAATTTTCATTACATTTGTTATGTAGTAAATCTACAACTGCAAAGCAATTTAGTGATCCCTACCATGTAGTGATCAAATGCCAATGCTCTCTTCGCTTCCCCATATTTAAAATGTGTAAATCTAATACCGCATACTCATCAGGATCAATCTTGTGTAAGTTAACATGTTGCAAATTTTACCCTTGCTACTAAGAGTTAGTACAGGACACGCAACATTAGTCCTCATTTTCCGAGCTGCTTTCTGAGCTGTTTGTCAAGCTTTGTGAGACGTGAAAACATTAATTTCACCCCACAATGTTTCTACATCACTGAAAAGAGCATGTGAAAATCTAGTTTTTTTGGGAGAAGTCTGTTTTTGCTTGTGATAAGCTAGCCCAAATCGCACCATCAAAACTTCTAGTTTCACATTTAAAAAATCCTGCCCCCGCCTTCATACTATTTACTTGTTTTGTGAAGCACATGCTGGAAGGATTGAATTACAATCAGCAGTGGTTTTACATGTCAACATTAGGTTATTGCAGAACAACAAAGAAGCCCCTGCTGTGAAGAAGCATTTTGAGTAACAGACATTATCATGACAAATACATTAGTATGTACCACCGGTTGTTGTGGCACTAAAAACTGAGTTGATGGCTCATGACTCTGAACTGATAGAAACACATACTTTTGTATTTGTTTGTGTATTTACCATGGGGTTCATGCCCTTCCCTTCTCATGTTCGCTGTTTGTCCCCTCTGTGTTCTTGTTACACGGTACAAAAGAAAAAATCTTATCCATTCTAACCAAACAATACATATGTATAATATTTACAACTTTACTACAAGTGTTATGTCAGTTACAGGATATTATAAATCTAAAACTTCAAAGCAATGTTAATTACATTTTCATTAGCTTCAGAGTTTTCTACAGCAACTGGCTAGGAGGTGTATTAAGTCATCTGGAAAGGGAGATCATGAAAGTGATGGCAATTTTTAGTGAAGTTATATGTTATGGGCACTTATCTGACCAAATACAGTCTAAAGTGAAAAGGGCAAATGCTTGAGTGACAAAAACAATGCAAGCAGGAGAGCAAGAGTCAGAGAGACCAAACTGACATAGGTTTATATGGGGACAAGCAGCTGTACTGTCCAACAAAATACTAATGAAGACACTATTTTAAATTAAAGTTTGGTGATGTTGACACTGATTGCATTAAAATAGCTTTAAAAGCGGTTGCTAGTTAAACATCTATTGGGGCATACTGTAGAGAGGTGCCGTTTTAATATATTGGTGGAAAATAAAAAACGTATTAAGAATATATTTAACATAATAATTTAATAGAAATACGGTAGCTTTGGCTTAGCCTAAATGCAATGAAT